TGGTGACTAATCTTAAATTAGTCAAACTTTAACTATTTACATAGTAAAAAATAACTATTTAAAAGTGAAAACGACTATTTTATTAGTAAAATATGCTTTTACTAATTCAAATAGTAGAATTTTGACTATTTCATTTTTAGAGAGTACTAAGTAGATGCCTTAGAAATATAAATTAATTAAAACACTGATGGGTAAAAATTTTGCACACACTTTTGGTGCTGTGACAATACATGATGAGGTTAGTGACGTCATACTAAATCCAATATGGCAACCGCCCAAGATGGCGGACTACCTATGTATACCTAAAGTTAATTTCTTTTATCTGGACTGCGGCAACGTTGCAAATTTAGGGTTTTGGTTGGTAAATACAGTTGTCAAGTTAGTCGCATTTATTAAAACAAACTAAGCTAGTTATAAATCTAATTGTAGTTATGTATAAATTATTGTAGGTTACAATGTGCAGTTGTCAAGTTAAGTTGTCGAAATTCGTATTTAAAAATACAATTAATTTGGCTTTGGTGGTGCTTGGATGAGTAAAATCATATAAAAAAGTAGTTAAATATAGGTTGCTTTACGGCCCAGAAAAGAAAGTATTCCTAGCGGATAATAATCTTCGCTTTGAAAAGAATTTATATAAAAGAAATTAAAATTTTTTGTGAACGTAAATGTTGTCCAATGGTGAATAATGTGAAAATAATGTGTGATGTGATATTTATAAAACCAAATTCGTTACTTTTTTACTCCAAAAATGTCCATAAGGCGATGTACTTTTTCTTCCATTGTGGCATTTGGCATAATTTCATCAAAATGAAGTTTTTTCGAGTTCGTAGCTATTATTTTTGGCATAACTATCTTTTTATTTATAATTTACAAATAAATTATCAATAAACGAGAAGTTAATTAACCCAGGGAACACCCACTGTTGCCACGTTTCTCCGCGTCATCTGTCAAACAAAACTATTAAAACCATAAAACCAAACCAACCCAAACTCAACAACACAAACCAACCAACCCAACATGCAACATGCAATAGTGCATGATGTTCTTTAAGAACAGCTGTTATATCCTTATCATATGCAAAAAGTGCATAAACTTATTTCTGAAGATTTTCCTTGTAGAATGCAGTTTGCAAACTGGCTATTGGATCAGCAACAAAATAATGTAAACTTCATTAGCACTATTCTTTCCAGCCCTTACCACTTGAAACCCGCCTAAACATGTATACATGTTTAGGCGGGTATACTTCTTGCACGATGGGGCACCACCTCATTTCAGCGTTGCTGTGCGGGAGCACTTGAATAACGTTCATCCAAACCGTTGGATAGGTAGAGGAGGATCTATTGACTGGCCTCCTCGATTTCCCGACCTTGGGCTGATGAATTTTTTCCTGTGGGGATACCTAAAAAAAACTTGGTGTATTCCACTCCGATAGATACTAGGAGGAACTTTTACAGATAATCACGTTTTATTGTGATATGATAAGAAACAATTCTGGGTTATTCTGGCGGGTACAGCAGTCCTCAATTCGTCGTGCCCGCGAATGTATCAGAGTTCACGGAACCCATATTGAACCCTCTTATAAAGTTTTTAATTTAGAATTATCGTCCTTCAATTTAAGGTTTTGCAACAATACGTTGTATTATTTTTTTATGGTCCTTTTTATTAAAAATAAACGTGAATTTGTTTATTATTCTTTTTTTCGAAAACGGTTCATTTTATTGACAATAAACAAGAGTACCTTTATTTTAGTTTAAGGTTCAAGCTATGCAGATTTAGTTTTTTTAAGTCTTTGTCATACGGGGTGTTCAAAATTTAAGCATTAAAAAGTAAAACTTAGTCCGCCCCTGGTAAACAAAAAAAGCAAAACATGTTTCAATGACACTATTTTAAGAGGTCCTTACCAGGGTCCATCATGTTAAATTTTTATTAAATTATATTTAGTACTTTAAAAGTTATTAAAGAAAAACCAATTTGTAGGGGAGTCCTTTCGAGGCCCATGTCTCCGTAAGGATGGCCAGTAGGAAAAAAATTTATAGGAACGTGTCATCTTATTTTTTCATGTTCTATCTGAATCCGAGAGATTTCCCACATTTTCCCGGACACCCTGTATAACATTTTCTAGGTACTACCTATAGGTAGTACTATAGTAGGTAGTTTTATATTCTGGGTCTTCGTATGCGTACTCCCCGCCGACCTGCCTTCGTCACGGCTGCTTGTACTTTCAAGTAATATTTTATTAATAAATATTGAAATAATTAGTCCTATAGGTATTCACCAAATACCATTATATGATATAATTTATATCCTTCACTTTATTTGACAGCTATTTTTTGTTTAAAAGTTTGGTTATGTGTTTTACTGGAGCCACAGCACCTCTCTGTCCCCAGTTGTTTCAGTAAAATTTACCGTACATTTATAAAAGGGGAGTATTTACCACTGAGCTCAGTAACTGAAAGTGGATTTCGGAATGCGTTTTCAGTACCGACAGTACTGACAGTAAATTACGGAACATAGCCTAAATTCTTTAGCAAAAGTACCATTTTTAAATACTAAAAATACTAAGTCAAACTGGCATAAGCCACCAACCTAACAAAAAAAACACGAGTCCAGATAAAAAAAAATGAACTGTATATGTCCTTGACAGATATTATTGAATTTGAATTTCAAGTCAAGGTTAAATCTTACGAGTTGGCAACTCAGCATCTGAAATTGTTTTTTTCCGAGTTTTTGTTCAATTTTTTTGCAAAACCTAAATTTATAAATATTTGCAATAAAAACTAAAAATCTTCAAAAAATGGCGAATGCGCCGGGATTAAATATTATTTTAAAATTAAATTTATATACTTAGTAAAACGGTATAAATAACTAATTAAAGAAAAATACCGTACGAATTTTTCATACCCGAATAAATAAAACACCTTTGTCACAGCAAAAATGAATCGTTAGTTGATTTTAAGAAATAAAGTTCAAATAAACCTATAATCTAAACCTCTTAATTTTTTAGTTACAGGGTGTTAAAGTTTTAAGAAAAAAATCGTTTTTTTATCATAACTTTAATAACTTCCTAGATATTTTTATAAAATTTGGCACACGCCTTCTAAGCATTAACAGTAAGTTAATATTATGCACGCCACTGCTATTTTTCAAAATAAAAATTATTTTTTAAATCTCCATTCATTTTAGGGCAAATTTGATTTCCTGACCATTTTTCGTACGACTAACGGTTTTCGATAAAAAAATAATAAGCATTTAATGCGCAAATTGAGAAAACAATGCCATGATTAAATAAACATTAAAATTAAATTTAATTATAAAATAGTTTTAAAAGAACTTGTTAACATTAAATAACGTAAACAAAAACAAAAATAATTTAGATTAGCTGTTGAAAGTGGCCACCACCTGCAAGTATGCATGCTTCAGCTCTTCTCCTCATTGAGTTTCGTACCCTTAGAAAATTTCCTGGAGTATTTCTGATAGTGTCACAACAAACTATTATGCGGTTTCTCAACTCCTCCTCAGTATTTATTGGGGTGCTATAAACCAACGCCGTAAGATGTCCCCATAGGAAAAAATCTAGACCGTTTAGGTCTGGCGATCTAGGTGGCTACGATTGTGTTCCTCCACGCCCTATCCAGCGATTTCTATAATGTTGATTTAAAAATTCCCGTGCCTGGATACTGAAATGGGGAGATGCACCATCGTGCATAAACCACATATGAAGCCGGGTAAAAGCAGGGACGTCGTCTAGCAAATTTGGTAAACTCTGTTCAAGAAACTGGCGATAACTATTTCCGTTCAATCTGCCTGGTAGAAAATAAGGTCCAAGTAAATAATCACCAATAATTCCAGCCGATACGTTTACAGAAAATTGTTGTTGTGAAAATTTCTTATGGCATTGTTTTCTCAATATGCGCATTAAATGCTTTTTATTTTTTTCATCGAAAACCGTTGGACGTACGAAAAATGGTCAAGAAATCAAATTTGCCCTAAAATGAATGGGAATTTAAAAAATAATTTTTATTTTGAAAAATGGCAGTGGCGTGCATAATATTTTTCCAAAAATATCTAGACCACATCCTGTACGGACGCCACTGGTAAAAAAAATAAAAAATCTTCTACATCAAAAACTTATTGTTAATGCTTAGAAGGCGTGTGCCAAATTTTATAAAAATATCTAGGAAGTTATTAAAGTTATGATTTAAGATTTCCAAAATTTCACCCCCATATTCGCAAACCTCATGACAAAAAAATATTTACTTTAGGTAAAGGACATGATATAGTATTTTACTTACTTTTACTATATATAATTTATAAATGAAACCGGTGTGGCATTTTGTTCAAAATATTTTAGAAAAATTGATTTAAATGGATTATAAGCGCGCTTTTAAAATTTCAAATCTTTTTCCGTTCCCCAGAAACTTCAATTGGACCACGAATCTGAAACACCCTGTATTTAAGTATTAAGTGAACTAGGGTACTTTTTGATTTTCTTTGATAAGATTATAATATTTTAAATAATTAAAATTAATTAAAAATATGAAATACATTTATTATCTTATAATTTTAATTCATTAACTAATTAGTGCAGAAAATCTTTTGAGGCAAATATAGAACTTTCCCAATCACTTTGTGAAGCTATTACTCAAACAATTTTGTTCAGGTAGCTTCTAATTGCACTTAAATCAATTACGTATTTACTTTGAACATTGCTCTAAACAATAATCTAAAACGTTCAATTAATGCCTGTCTTGGGGGTACGAAGAAGAAACTACCGGTACTCATCCAATCGATATCTTTAACGTGCTGCCTGCTTTTAGTGATGACGATGCACGAAATTTAATATATCAAATGATTTGGGCGAAGGGAAATGAAATTAAACTTCATTTCAACCCTTTATTTACTTCGCGTTACATCATCGTCATTTCTGTCCGGAAATTTGATTACATTAACCTGTCAAACAACAGTTTTTAACGACAACGGCACAATAAAATCCCCGCACAATGAATTACTATTTTTTAATTTTGGACCGCGGTTTAATTAATGGTAATTATAATTTATGATGAATTCAATTTTAAATTTTAAAAAACTGTTTTATTCGTTATTAAAGGTAAAAAATTAAAGAAAAAATATAAATAGTTTATAATAAATTACTATCAGCTAAAGATTTTTGCAAACAGTTATTTTCAATTGTGTGTAGGAGTCGATGCGGTGTTCAAAATTTGTGGTATAAAAATATAAATTAAGGTAATACGAAGAAGTACTGGTGGCGCCACCATCATCGTAACAAAACTGCAGCTGTCAACCAAGGTGTTACAAACGAGTGTTCTTGAGAATAAGACCAAAAAATGTTAAAAATATCTAGAAAAAGAGCATGGAACGATTTGTTGTGTTGTTAGGTGTTTTTTGAAAGAAAATCTGGGGTTGAGTTTTTATCGTTTTTCAATAAACAGTGAAAATTCGCATTAAGAAATAAATTGCACACACTCCCCCCAATATCAATTGCACCTATAAGATACAATAAATATACATTTTTGTAATGATTTATTTACTTAAAAATTGTAAACATTTAATTTCAGTAAAAATTATAAAACAAATTATTCGTCTAAATGCAAACAGCATTAAAAATTATTAAAAGCGTTGATTGAGAAAGTCTTCACTCAACGGTAAAAGACCAAAAACGGGTATTATATTATGTATTGTATATAATTCGTAGATATATTTTGTCTTTTACCATTTTTAAATGCAGTTGTCGGCGTCTTTTAGAGGACAATATTATTGTGATTTTTGTACCTGATATAAAATATCATATTTATTTTTATTATTACTAGAATTAATTTGATTTATTTATATTGTAAACCATTGTGTAACTGCTATTTAGCGTTAATAAACATTATTATTTTTATTATAATTGGCCCGAAACAGAAGTAGGTACCCTTTATTTTTATTTTAGATTATTATTTAATAAATAAGTGTTGCCTAAAATTAAACGATTCATTTAAGTTTAAGTTTTTTAAGTTCCCTGACATTTAAGAATTTTTCAATAAGAGGAAATAAATTTACACTTAACTTAAATTAAGAGTACTTCTTTCTTGGGCCAATTATAAATTATCCTAACCTAAACCTTTTACAAATACTTACAATAGTTTTTTCTTAAGCCATTTATAAATTATCCTACTTTATGACATGTACAATGTACATTGTACATTGTACATTGAGCATGTTCAAGTTTTGATGGTCAAATATTTTTCAGGAAGAATATCTTTTTATAAAGAGTAACTTTTTTTAAATTGAAATATAAAGTTTTCCATTTGTATACAGCTTACACTGTATAAATATACAATTTTAAAATATTTACATTAAAAAAATAAAATTCAATTTATATACTCCTAATACTTAAAAACAACAAAAATAATTTAAATAAATATAAAATTAACAAATATATTTAAATCCCACTTGAGTATATTTTAATAATTAAATATATACACTGTATATTATTGTTGTCCTGAAAAAGACGGATTTTCAAAACAATTAATTTATAAATGAGTACAAAAAAAAGTTAACAATTGTTACCAATAACTAAAATATTAAAATAACTCCCTTCCTATCGCATCGCGCCACTTTCGGGACACCCTGTAAAAATTGTATTTTGGGTATAGTTTTAACAAAACTTAAAATTTATCGAATTGTTGTCCTTATTTAGTTTTTCGATATATCAAAACCTAAGCAAACCAATCCTGTTAACGGACAAATATAGGCAAAAAATGTATGGTGTGATTTAGAAAAGTGGACTTAATACAGTTGGACTCTGAGGTACAGAAATAGTCTTGCATATTTTTAAAAACGTTTTGTATGATTTTTTAAATAAATAATATATCCATATTTTCTTAAGTACTTAAAAATAAGACGTACAATATTGTTGTTCTGAACCAAATCCGTTTTTATTATTAAATATTGTTTATGTACTCTCTTAAAATGAATTAGTAAAAAATAACTCATATTTGACTAATTGCATAGCGAAAAAGCAGTCACTAATAATTAGTCAAATTCTACTCTTATAAAAATTAATTTTATTTGTCAATAAATATTGTTCATAATATTTTAAAGTTGAAGTATGAGTCATTTAACCATGGAGCTTAGGTATATGCATTTAATTCAAATAATACTTTGTTGTTGGCCGCAAACGATTAAAGAAATTAGTTACTTTTAACTCTCAGAAATAGTCAAAGATGGTGACTAATTTTAAATTAGTGAAACTATTTACGTAGTAAAAAATAACTATTTAAAAGTGAAAACGACTATTTTATTAGTAAAAAATGCTGGTACTAATTCAAATAGTAGAATTTTGACTATTTCATTTTTAGATAGTAATGTAATGTAATAAATATAACTAAATAATTTTAACACTTTTTAATGATTTTAAAACCATGCATTCCTGCATTATTTTTCTCATATAGTTTCAAGGTCTACTGATGAGAAGCTAGATGTAATTCAACAAAGATATAACGACAAACATAAAAATAATTTTTAATTATTAAAGTTTTATGAAAATAAAAAACTTACCTACCATAAAGAATGACTAAAATAACTAGCAACCTATTTCGAGAACTCATTTCAACAGTCGTAAAAATTAAGATACCTAATCGTATACACCTGCTAAACAATAAAAACTGCTGCTGCCGGGTTTGGCTATCCCAAATGTACAAAAGGGATAAAATTGCTAACAAATAAACAAACGTGGAAGATGTTATCCTAGAGACTTCTAATTTTGAATATAGGAGTTTTATGGGAATTTTCGTTTTTTGAAACAAGTATTTATTTATTCATCTACATTAATGTTGTCGCCTTCAAAATACTCCCTATTGGATATTATGCACATGTACCAGCTCTTCTTCCAATACTCGAAACACTTCTAAAACTCGATCTTTGGGATAGCATTTAGTTCTTTCAGCGATGCGCTTTTAATGTCATCTATGCTTGCAAAATGACGGCCCTTTAAGGTTCTCTTTAATTTTGGGAATAGGAAAAAGTCAGACAGAGGCATGTCTGGCGAATATGGAGGCTGGGGCATCATTACAGTATTGTTTTTGGCCAAAAATTTTGTTCAAAATTTAACAATTTTAGAACAAATTTTGCTGCCACGCGTTTTATACCCAAAACATTCGAAAAAATTTCATGGGATGAGCCAATCGATATACCAACATCATCAGCGACTTCTCTGATGGTTTATAACCATTTCTTCCACTTTTTCCATGTTTTTATCGGTTGTTAATGTGCTTGTGCGTTCGGGGCATTCGTCATCTTCAACGTCTTCACGGCCATCTTGGAAACTCTTATACCACTTGTAAACTCTTGTTTTACTTATAGCAGACTCACTATAGGCCTTTGTTAACATTTCACAGAATTTATTTAATTTTGTAAGCAAAATTGGATACAAATTCTTTGATCCATTTCTTTTAACAAACGAAAAATCGCCGAGCTCATAAAACACGTCTAACCTTAGCGGCTTCCACAGACAAAGTAAACAATGAAAACAGCTAAAGTTGTCATACTTCGGGGGCATGTATACCAACATAATAAAGAAAATTTTATGACAACCGGATCCTCTGAACCCGCGAAATTTAACAATTCCCGTTATTTTCTGAACACACCTCGTATACAGTTTTTTGGATAACTAATAAAGAATTTCAAGCCTATTTTACACAAAAATATGGCGGAAAATTTTATATTAACTAAAATTATTATGCATTTAGGACAGTAGCGTGCGAAGGTGATCGGGGGCCCCCCCGCAATTTTTAAGCTGGGGCCCCTTTGTCACTTATACCACCCAATGTGGTTCTCTACGGGGCCACCCTAAAGTCGGGGGCCCTCCCGCACCGCGGGCCCTGCGGGGCCCGTCCTGCACGCCACTGATTTAGGACCAGTTTAAGATTTATTTTACGAAAAACAGAATGGTGAATGGAATACGGCGTACATATTTTTTTAAACCTCAACGCTATGTGTAAGGTTGTGAATTTAGGCAAATGCATACATTGTTAGCGTTAATGTAACCTGAATGTAAAATTACGTAAACGTCGTTTTCCGTGTAAATTTTTGTATTTTTTTAAAAAGCACATATTTTGTTTTTTTTAATATTTTTTACATTTTTTTTTAAATATAAAACCAATAAAATAACTAAAATGATATTTTTAAATAAACATTTTAAGCGTTATGTCGACATTTAGGAGGGCAGGATTTTCAAGAAATATTTTTCATAAATTTTAAGCATGCGGACGGGGCAAATCGCAAAACTGTTTAAAAAAAATTGTAGGTAATTTATTACAAGAAACAAGAAATAAACATTTATTCATTGTTAAACTTGATTCTAACCTAAAAATTTATAATAAATAAATTTTTAAAGATCGCCTTAGCAAATAGGTATTTATTATGCCCAAATTTGCATTATTATTAATAAAAATATGGACAACAAACAAAGTATTTGTTTCTGCTAAATAAAAAATATGACGAATATTATTTATAGGTTTATTCACTATAAATTTACTTTATTTATTGTAAATAAATATTTAAAAATAACACTTTTTCTCTCAGTGTAACCTTCTAAAATATAATTTAAATAGAATTAAAATAAAGTCATGCCGGGTATCTTCCACCATTATGTTTTCTTTTAATTTTAAATTTACCTGTAATTTATATATTACAATTTAAATGATAATTATAATTATAGCTATAGCAAGGGGTTTAAAAAATATATCCGCCAAAATAAACCCTTCATTTTTTACCAGTGACTCCATGTATACTAATTTTAGCAAACAAGAAAATATTTCAGAAAAAATGACCGCCAAGAAAAAATGACCGCCAAATTAAATCCGCATTTTTTTTTAATTTATACCTCAAATTCGAAATCAGCAACCTGTATGTTTAAAATTTAAAGTCTGATATATCATCTTTATTTTTTATCTATTTTTTAGCAATTTAATCCAAACTTGCCTTTTTGTACATTTGAGGCAGATTTTTATGTTCAGCTGGTATATAGTATAGTATTAGTATCATTATTATTATTATGCTTCTAAATTTTGCCTAATAATAATATTAAATAATAAATCACTTTTGTAAAGTTTTAGCTAGAGATTAATTAACCTATAGGTTATAATGAAGTGAAAAGTGAAAGCCGCACTATTTCTTTTTAAATTAAATTAACTTTATCGGAGAGAATTCCCCTAAGATGTTTATTTAAATAGGTATGTTTAATTGGGGAAAAACCTCTATACACTTTAGTTAAAGTTTGCAGCATTAACAACTTAAACAGGACTTTTCTCATAAATTCACGAAAGTGATTATCCAAGTTTTAAATACCTAGTTTTCAGAGAGAGGCTAAATAATGGTTCTTTATGGCCGTATAGACAGTTTTAATGGTAATTAAAATATATCTCTACAAAAAATATATTTTATTTTACTTTTTGCACTATTGCTAAAGTAAAGTTTAAAAATTTGGTTGAAATGCAATAAATTACATTATTTTAAATATAATTGCAAAAACCATCTCTAACATGTTTTTATTTATATTCGTAAACTAAATATTTGTATTGTTACTTTTTTCTAATAATGTTTTATTATTTTTAGGCAGTGTAAAGGCTGAGTCATTTACTAAACTACCCCCTCCTTTACATCCAGCTTCTATGATTGACTCCCAAATTAATCAGGGCAGTGTAGACGGCTCAGACTGTATACCCACATCGACAGCTGAAGAAGACCTTTTAGAAGATGATGACTTGAATTTAGGTTTGTATTGCTGACATATTTTTGCTTTTAATTTTTGTTGTGGTAAATTAAAATATAGCCTCATAATATGCTCCATCTAACTGGGAATTGTTTTTTTTTTGCTTTTAAATAAAATTGTTTAATCATTACAAAAAACTTCGCTCGTTTGGAAATATTAAAATTTGTTTTTTTAAATAAATTGTCAAACAAGAAACCATAAATATAGAGGAAATTTTTACAGCATGCAGTCTACTTGTTGTTTTGCTACTACTCTCTTTGATTTTGGAAGGACTTATTGAATTACCCTTGTAAATTATTTAATTAGACCTAATAAAACAAAATGTGAATGGAACATACTCAAAATAAAAAGATCAAAAACCTTTACTCAATATTATACAATGATATTATTACTTTATATTAGTGTTCGACCGATATACTTTTTTGGGCCGAGACCGATATTTTTCTGGCCGATACCGATATATATCGGCCTGGGCCTATTTTTTTTTAAATTTACAAATCACTTAAATATAAATATGGATTTATATTTTTAAAAAATTATTTTTATAATAATCCCAGCTCTTATAAGCATATGATAAATTTTTTGGGGAAACACCATTTAGAGGGGATGCAAATTTGAAATCAGTCTCTGAATTAATTAAAAAATAAAGAAAAATTTATAATAAATATGTTTTTTGTTAATAAATAAATGCTTGTTTATAATAAATAAAGATTAATTTATAATAAATGTGTTTTATTTGTGATAAATAAATGCTTGTTTATAATAAATACTAAAATATTTAGAAGACATAAAACTTTATTTGTAAACCCTATACTTTAATTTACTATAAATGTTGCTTCCTAAAAATTTGCATAGCTCGTCCATGGTTTGCAGATCTTCCATGCATGTTTGGATTTTTTAATAATCGCAGATACACTAGCCGGCACACAGGAAAGAGCCGGTATTTTACACTGGCACTATAGGTACAATTTAAATTAATGTTATTACAAAAGATTGCAAACGAAACACTGATGCATAGATACAAAATAAATAACAGTGCAAAGAACAGAATCACTAAACTTAACAGTACACAGAACAGAATCAGTAAACTTGGCAAGGCAACCATACGCACGCGGTACACCATGCACTATTCGAGAAACGTCTGCTGTTTTGGTGCGTTTTGACAGAAGTTTGAGTACAGTAAACAAGAAATAAATATTTATTCATTATTAATATTGATTCCTACCTAAAAATAAATTCGAAATTTATAATAAATAACTTTTAAAGATCGCCTAAGCAAATAGGTATTTATTATTCCCAAATTTGCATTATTAATAATAAACATATGGGCAACAAACAAAGTATTTGTTTCTGCTAAATAAAATATATTACGCAGATTATTAATAGTTAAAAAGGTTGATTAACAATAAATTTATTTTATTTATTGTAAATAAATGCTATCCAAATAAAGATTTGTTAACTATAAACTACACTCTCAGTGTACTTTCAAAAAACATGAATCCACTTGGTGGAAAGAAAAACAGTATGTTCTGCCTTTATTATTTTCTCAAGCACTTATTTATTTGGGCGCTCCAGCAAGCACTGTTTTTAGTGAACAAATGTTTCCAGAGGAAGGGACTGTAAACTCCGTAAAAAGAAATAGACTAAACCCTAATACATCCAAGGCTTTGATTTTTCTCTATTGCAATTAAAAAAATGGATTTTTCTTATTAGTCAATTTTATCAATTAATTTTTATAGAGGCTTGTTTTGTTTTTATTTAGTGTTTTTTAGATAATTGTTAAGGAATTTTGTTTGTTTAGATAAATATATATACACTTACATGCAAAATAATCGATCTACACAAATTTTCGATGAATTTCAATCGCAAATAACTTTTTTATTTGATCGGATTTAAACGAATATTGTAGATAAATTAATGGAGAATCGCTCACATTTAAAAAAATACTAAAAAATAGACGTACGTTTATAATATACAGGTTTAAACAAAAAGATGTTTTTTACCATAAGTTTAAACCACTCTGTAGAGTGGCAAAACCGTATATTGTTCTAAATTAAGTTTTGTTTATCAAGTCACATCTATTCTTGACAGTTTTGTTTTTGGTTCACCTCTATATATTTATTTTTGTGAAAAATATGGATTTAAAAAAAAAATAATGCAATTTCCAATATTTTTCTGTATGAAGAATTAAGGTTCCATAGGCTATGGAAAATGACAGTGACAGTTTTGTTGAATCATCCCATACTTGGACATGTCATACACGGCTTTTAAATGCTACCAAATTGTTTTTTGCAAATTAATGTTTAAATTTTGAGGTATCTTCTTAAATGGATATGTCTCCGACTGATGTTGCCATTAATTTAATCCAGGATGGACGGTCACAGTATTACGTGGCAAGTGTTTTAAACGTCACAAGAAGTACAAAAGGCAACAACGGTCGGATACATTTTTAAAATTAAGAAGTCACCTCAAAATTAACACATTAATTTACAAAAAACAATTTGATACCTTTTGAAAGCTGTATATGACATGTCCAAGTATGGGATGATTTAACAAAACTGTCTCTGTCATCCTCCATAGGCTATGGATGGACCATAGATATCTTAGTTCTTCATACAGAAAAATATTGGAAATTGCAATGTTTTTTTTTAAAATCCATATTTTCCACAAAAATAAATATATCGAGGTGAACCAAAAACAAAACTGTTAAGAATAGATGTGACTTGATAAACAAAACTTAATTTAGAACAATATACGGTTTTGCCACTCTACAAGGTGTTTTAAACTTATGGTAAAAAACATCTTTTTGTTTAAACCTGTATATTATAAACGTACGTCTATTTTTTAGTAATTTTTTTAAATGTGAGCGATTCTTCATTAATTTATCTACAATATTCTTTAATATTCGTTTAAATCCGACATCAAATAAAAAAGTTATTTGCGATTGAAATTCATCGAAAATTTGTTTGGATCGATTATTTTGCATGTGAGTGTGTATATATATATATATATATATATATATATTGTAACAGTTACACTTTGCTTGTGAAGATGCCATTGTTGGCGAAAAGTACTTTAAGTACTCTGTTTTGTTTTGGTGTTGGGGAATATTTCTAATATTTGTTTAACATATCACCAAAGTTGCCCTTTTAAGTATGACAGAAAATTCATAGGTACCTAATTTTTAAAAACACATCGTTTAAAACAAATTTAAAGACTAAACGATATTTTATATTACAGAGGAAGAAGAAGAAAGCGAAGAACTCCTCCAGCGACTAGCAACACGTCACTACTACAGCTACACAGCTGCCCTAGGCGTGACCGTAGGAGTCGGCTGTCTTCTCCTCGTCCTCAATATGCTCATCTTCGCCGGGATCTACTACCAAAGGGAACGCGACCGCAGGAGACAAAACTCCAACCGCAACTCCAGAGCATCATCCTCACCATCCACAGAAACCATCCCCATGTCCCAAAGACCATCCACACCGGGATCATCAGCAAGACAGAGTCCTGTAAATCACAGGAAGGAAAAGTATGAGATGCCGCCGTGTTATAACACTCTGGCGAGGAGTTTGTCCATCCAGGATGTGCCGCAGATACAGATGAACACCTTGAAAAGAGATAAACCTCCACCACCTGTAAGAACATCGAGCAATCCTCCAGTAGGTACAGTCAAGAAGAGAGTGCAAATACAGGAAATATCGGTATAGCAATCGGGCAGTGAGAGACATGGAGGCTCTCACAAACCTGATCTGGCGCCGGACAATGAACATTTACAGTGCGACTTGGTGTCAGTACAATTATAACAATGTGATATCGTTTTCATTTATATCGAATAGTGAAATAAAAGTTATAAAGGTTTATTACAATAGTGCAAAGTTAACACTACCTCAATCAAATAATACTTACGTAGACGTTAAATTTGTAATGTATCTTATTAATCAAATAATAAACCTTTGATGAACTTCTCCACATTTCAGCAACTAAACCATTGTAAATATCTACTCATACTGTTATTAAAGGCAGTGCGATTTGTTATTATAAGTTATAAACGAATAATTACCTAGAATTAATTGTCATTCAATTTTAAACTTTTAAGTCGCACTGTACGACTGTTTTATTGATGTTTTATTGTTTTTAAACCTGAACAGATTTTTGAACTTTTAAATACTGTTAACGTTAGATTTCATTGTATATATTATAGAATTTTAATGGACGGAGCTAATAAAAATATCGATATCTATAAGAATTGTTTGTTTACTTTTTACCTAGGGTGGATTGCGAGTTTCATAAACCACCAGTAAGAACATCGAATAATTTAATTGGTGGGAGAAGGTGGGAAAATTTTGTGCGTGGGGTAAATTTACGAATAAACAATTCTACTGTGTACATTGTACACCTACGTTAATTTAGGAAAGTGGTTTATAAAAATTTTATCAACTAAATAATTATTGTATAATATAAAGATTAAACAGGTGGAGACTCCACAGTGGATTCCCCTAAAACAAACGATACACTTTTACTGTGAAAAACTGCTTCTATGTCGGATTTAATCGATTCTTCTATGTCGGATTTAATCGATTGTTAGTCCACAATTTAAATTTCGATTTTCACAAAAAATTTGCCGCCGGTAATACAGATTTTAATTCTTAGCCGAATAGTGACTCTGTGTTTGTATAGATGTCGCTGACGCTGGGGGTAATTTTGCGCTGCGCACAGTTACCCCGTGTAGTTATTATTACAAAATAAAAGGCCTATTTTTAATTCACCGGTAAATTGAAAATAATCCTTTTATTTGGTCCTAATAACCTTAAACCTAACCATAAAATTTTCTTAAATTAAAAGGACGCAACTATTATGAATGATCCAAACTGCCATATCAGGTCACAACTTGGCCAGGAATTGCCCCTTCACCTTTGGAAAAGTTTTGCCAATAAATGTAAAAGATATGACTTTATATTCCTACGTTTCTTGTGCAATCGCGATGACCAACAATAAACGATCAAATCGTGCCCAATAAAATTCAAAAGCAGTTTGATTAGGTTAGGTAGTTTACCGTTGGTATAATTTTGTTAATGTTTGGACATGAAAAATGTACATTTTTGACGTTGAGGCATTTTATTGGAAAATAACTAAACAAATATTAATTATATATGGAAGAATATTAAAGAAACTTTAAAGCTTTAGAGAATTTTTTTTTGTTTAAATTGACATCTAATAATTAAATTAAACTTTTGGAAACTGTTGTAGGTATTTAGTTTAACCCATGGTACAAGGTACATGGTACCTTTAAGTTAATTTTATTAATTATAATTTTTAAATCTATAGATTTAAAAATCGCCGCGGCGGGCAAATACAAATACAATATCCGTTGCAACAAACAGTATACGTAGACACTTCCTACATTCAAATGACATTTGATTTGATCATCAAATGACATTTGATTTAATCATCAATATTAATTATGTAATAGGGTAAAAATCTGAAGTTTCACTAAATTTCAAAGAAATGGTTGTTTTGAAGAATTAAGAAATTTAATACTTAGAAGGATTTTTAAGAGAGCCAGATGTCACTTGGGGGGGCCTAGGAGCATGTTTTGGAAGTAATAAATAAATAGATAGAAAGTTTCTTTGTCCCCGAAACGCGCACTAAAAAGTAGCCAGATGATGTTTTTCTTGGAAAAAGCCTTAACGCTCAATTGAAAACGCTTCCCTTTGTTTAAATCGATCGTTGGAAAATTAAATAATAGAGAAAGTAGTTAAAAGAATAATAACAAATTTATTTAGTTAATAATCATTTAGATTAAAGAATTAGGACTAAGATAAGGATATAACCAGCCGTATAGTAGTTTTACCGATAGGTTTTAAGAATTTAATGTAACCCGAGAAAATTGTCTAATTGTATAACTTAGGTTGAAGTAAAAGGGTAGTTAGTAATTGCAGACATAGGATATTTTAATGTTTTGGACTTTGTTAACAGATTTAAATTTTTATAGAAAATAAGTAACTTTGTAGTTAGGCAACCCCGAATTCACCCTAAAGTCAGCGTTAAGTAGGGGTAGAAATTTCTCACTGCACGCCTCTGATTGGCCAGAAACTTCAACCCTGAGGCAAGTCACGCCCTCGACTTAAGAAAGTCTTTAAATACTCTGTACCACAGGGTTTGACAGATTTTATCTTGCAAGATTTCGCGCGCGTCGTTTCCGAGTTCGAAGGTCGAAGTTCTAGCCAGTCAGTGTAATTAATAAAGTCAGGTATATTGTTAAGTTTATTGTAAAGTTGCTTATACAGGTGCTCGCAGTTACGTTCACCTTAAGTGACCGGTTTAGTTTAAAATTTGTAGTTTAAAGTATTAGTTTTATAAGATTCATTTAGGTTACCTTTTTCTAAAGTTAATTTAGTTTTCGCTTATCAGTTTAATTCAAAAGTTAGTTTTTTAATCTTAATTTCTCCGTAAATTCTTTGTTAATTTTCTTTACCGTTAAATTATTAATTTTTCTTATTTCCTTTGTTAATTTTTATTCTTCTTCTTAATTGTAAATATATTGTTTGTGGTTAGAATCGGCTGTGTTTCTTTGGGTACCTGTTAATTCTAATTACCCAGTGCTTGGCAAGCGTAAGTATATCGGGATTCGCGAAGTGTTCCGGGAGATCCGTCGCGAGTGACTTAGTGTGGTAATTCGTGCTTATTGGGATTACCAAATCATCGGCAACCGTCGCTGGATTAAAGGTCAGATTAGTGGTAACATCCTTGTAACGGACTGATAGTAGTCTATATCAGCCCCGCTCCCCGCGTTAATTAACCCAAAAAACCACCCGTTACAACTCCACATTGGGTCCCAAATTTCCGTAGCATTTATTAACCTAACCAACTTTATTCTTGACAGCGCATCTACATTTGAATGATTTTTTCCAGGACGATACATAACTTTAAAACTGTACTCGGATAAGGAAAGCGACCAACGCATTAGTCTATTGCTTGGGTCCTTAACAGACATTAACCATTTAAGTGGTTGGTGATCACTGTAAACAATGAAATCATTACCATATAAATAAATTCTGTAATGTTTAATTCCCCAAACTAAAGCTAAGCATTCGCGCTCTGTGGTAGAATAATTTATTTCCGCTTTGGAAAGTTGTCTACTGGCGTACGCTATAGGTAACTCTTTACCGCTGTGAACTTGACAAAGGATGGCGCCTAGGGCATAAGAAGAAGCGTCTGTTAAAAGAATGAATTGTTTATTAACATCTGGGTATTTTAAAATGGGTTCCTTAAGAAGATAATTTTTTAGTGTCTCGAAGGACGACTGGCACTTATCTGTCCATTGAAATTTGACATTTTTCTTCGTTAGTTGAGTTAAGGGATATGCAATAGCTGAAAAATTTTTTACAAACTTCCTATAATAACCCGTAATACCTAAGAACGACTGAATTTCTGTGACATTTTTGGGAACTGGAATTTTCTTGATTGTAGAAATCTTACTAGGAAAACAAAAAGGAAAACATCACCGCATATTAAACCGACACTTTTACAAAAATTTACTATACCACCGAGACCTTTCTACAGAATAGCAATGGATGTTGTTGGACCGTTGCCGGTAACCGATCAACAAAATAAATACATATTAACCATCCAAGATGCATTGACTAAATACGTAGAAGCTTTCCCAATGAAAGACCAAACAGCAGATACGGTAGCCAGAACTTTTATTACAGGGATAATTTTAAGACACGGAACGCCCAAACAATTATTAACCGATTTAGGAACTAATTTTACCTCAAAACTCTTCGAAAAAATGTGCAACCTTTTGAAAATTAAACATTTGAAAACGACTGCGTATAGACCGCAATGCAACGGAGCATTAGAAAGGTTTCATAGGACATTAAAAGATTTATTGTCACATTACGTTCAACCGAATCATAGAGACTGGGATATTTGGCTACCGTTCGCTTTAGCATCGTATTGTTCCTCAACACATAGCGCCACAGGTGAAAATCCTTTCTTTTTATTGTTCGGTAGAGATATGGATTATCCATATGACGAGATGTTCAAGCCACTACAGGTAAAGTACGATAACGACGTAAATTATGTCTCGGAATTTTTAAATAGGATGAAAATAGCGCACAAAAATGCAATAGATATGATAGAGAGAAATACAGAAAGGGTGCACGACACATTTAATAGAAAAGCGGAATTACACAAGTTTAAAATAGGAGATAGAGTATATGTGTTCGATCCGTCAGATAAGCCAGGAATAAGCAGGAAATTAACAAAGAGATGGAAAGGACCTTATAGAATTATAAATTTAAATAACGTTACCGCCGAGGTAAAAGAAATACACGGGAATAAAATAGACAAAGTACATGTTAATAGATTAAAATTATGCCTAGCAACGGAAAATCAGGTAAATCAAATGGGACTTATACCCATTAAGGTAAGACAAACGAACGATTTAAACAAGTATCCAACGATCGGATTGTATACCGAGGAAGACCCCGAGCATATACCAAGGAAAGTTAATAATACAATAACACAATCGTCCAGTTCACAACATCAAGAAATTAATTCTTCAGCAAGGGATAATAATTTTTCTTTCAGGAACATTGATAATAATCCAAATCTAGTTTTCAGTAAAGATCCCCCTGTAGCTTTCGATCAGCAAGTAAACCCAACAAATACGGAGACAGCAACAAATTCAACAGCCAAAGTG